CGTGTAATTTTCATTTGCACCTTGACGGTAGCTGTATTACTTAGATAGTCCTTGGTGTTCGTGTCATAATATGCTGGCCCGCTTGAGCATGTTTACCCTATGTTTACTTTTACCTGAAATAACTTCTGAACATCGTCTCGCGCGTCTGTCGTGAAGTTTCAGGCTGTGAGTTATAAGTGTGATGATCTTGGTCATATGTGGCTGTGACGTTCGAGTTCGCCACATCTCCGACAGATCTAGCTTCTATGTGCAAAGTAACCTCGAACTTCATCACAAACTTGACCGGTCGACCATCCATGACACGAGAACTATACACTGTATGCACTGTGACTCGGCACTGCTAGAACATGAACTGGTGGGGCCCATCTAGAAGGTCATTGCGATACCCCGAAGTCCGAGAGACAACGTGTCATCGAAGTTCGAATTGCCAATTCAAATCATCGAATCCAACGTTCGAACGAAGTTCAATAATAGCTGATCAACTTGAATCAGTTTGAAACAATTATCTTCAATACTACATTAATGGTAATCGCACACCCGTAATGCTAACAACCACAGGAGATGAAAGGAAACCTCACGACTGTAGGATTTACGCTACAAACGTTCCAGGGAACAGAAGCTCAACATGTCACCGGGTGGAATACTACATTTTGGGGTGATGACTTTATCAAAATTTGGGGGCATGGTCAATCAGGTGCATCGGGTGAACCGTGTAAGTCTTCTTCCTATCTGCCGCGTGGACTCCTGAAACAATTATGATCAGGCCCGTTGACTGATGTGGAAAATTGCGGCGACATGACTTGGACGCATGAGCCCAATGATTCGTTTAGATTGGCAAGCAAGGTGATTATGATAATAGCCTCGTGTTCTGTGCGTCTAGTGAGGGAGTTTTGCTATGAAGCAGGTTTAAAACATTCCATCACGCGCATCTCTGCAACTTCGAGGAAGACGTCATCCCCACACACACATTAGATCCACCTCAACTGTGCTGCAGCTCCACTACAATGACAGCGCTCATTCCAAACACCACACCCATTCGAACATTTGAAGATCACGGGGATCGTGTTGTCGCAGTCGCAGTTTTCAATTCCTCCTACGGCGAACGGATGGTCACGGGCTCGTATGACGGGATGCTTCGTCTGTGGGATTTAAAAACAGGTTTAGTGTTGAAGAAGATGGAGGGGCATCACAGTCGGGTGCGGGCATTGGCTGTTTCACCAGATGGGCAGTGGATAGCAAGTGGTGATGAGAAGGGAGAGCTCATTTCCTGGCATAGAAACACCGGGGAACTCAACCAAACATTCAATAAAGCCCACAACGGCTGGATTCATTCGCTTGATTTTTCTTTGGATTCCAGGATGCTGGCCAGTGGATCATCTGACACCACCACGAAATTATGGATCACACAGGACAGGTTTAGGTTGAAGGAGGCCCAACATTCAATCAGCTGTCGTGGAAATGTCCGCTGTGTTCGGTATTTGGTATCCGGATATCTTGTGATTGCAACAGACCACAATATCCAAATTTACCAGAACTCCCGTTCCTGTTTCACGATGACCGGTGGCGACTACTCGCTCGCATGGACGCCAGATCGCAACTGGCTTTTCTCCGGGGGCAACGGGGCTGATCCCGTCATACGAGAGTGGAATATATCGACCTGGGAGCAGGTCGGTGATCCCTGGAAGGGTCATTTCAAGAATATCTCCGCCATTTCTGTGAACTCTAGCGGTACCCTCCTTGCCTCCGCATCTCATGACAATCGTGTCCGCCTTTGGCGACTCTCAGATCGACGAAACATCGCCATATTCAAACACTCTGGGGAGGTGAACTGCGTCACGTTCTCCACGAATGGCAAGCACGTCCTCAGTGGAGGTGTGGATAAAAAGATCTCAGAGTGGCCAACACCCGAGGATGTTTTGCCAGAGGACGGACCAAAAGATGGCCTCATGAAGGAGCAGGCGACGCACCAGGTAAATTTGTTTTTATTTTCTCGCCCATTCATCATCTAAGCGTCTTTTTTGCGCCAAGCATCAAGTCCACTCTGGTTTCAAGGCATGTTCCCACCTTTGACTCTTGTAACACAGTGTGAACATGATTTACGCAGGTCCTCGCTATGAACTCGACAGTCCGCAACGCATGCATAACTGGGGACTGGCGTACTGCTGAAAAGGTGCTAAATCTAGATATTGACGCTGATACCAACGATCACACTGCCTATGCCAATCGCGCATTTGTTATGGCACGAAAACACGACTGGAACCGAGCACTTCAAGATGCAATTCGGGTGAGATTGACTGACCCATCATGACCTACTTACAAAAGTTGTCTTCGATGATGGTATAGTCCGTCAGCATTCAGCCATCGTTGGCAGGCCATATCTCTAAAGGGATTGCCCTCTGCGGAAAAAAGCAGGTTCTGGCCGCGAGGATCCCGTTTGACCTCGCATCCATGTTCACGGATGGAGACTTAAAGACAGACCACTTCCTTTTCTTGATCAAGGCAGGTCATATTTTTCTCACATACTCCGTGCGTCATTTCGGTTTTTAGACTATTGCGCTGTTCAATGCAAATGAACACCAAGAGGCAATGCTTCGTATACGAGAGCTAGCTGCATGTCCCGATGTCGATCCTATTGCTTGTCGTATCGTGGAGGTGAGCTCAATCACATCAAGTTCATGTGTTGTCATTGATTCTTGCCCCTCGTACACCAGGCCTACCTACGCGTCCAACTAGGAAACATTGCCTTGGAGGGCGCGCGCTATAATGAGGCCGTTGAACACTTCACTGCCGCTGCCATTGCTAGCACTTTCTTTTATAAATCGCCAATTCATTTGACGTACGATGAATTTGTTGTGGTACGCTGATATGATGCAACCGAAAATCCTTTCGTGCTCAAACGCATGTTTTCAACAGCTATTTGGCTGGGACCTTAAATCCTTGTGGCAAACTGCGAACCAGCAACAGTGCTATGCACTCTTTCGAGCAGGTAGTTTTGGGGCAGCCGTCGAATCGTATCAGTCCATGGTTGATAAGATTGATGAGGATATGGAGGCCGACTTACATGCGTGGTTCGCTGGTAAGCATTCGGTAATGTCTCCTTGTCTCTCCGTCTTTAATCATCAACTGCACTTTACTCAGCTCTCGAGTAAAATTGAAACACACTCTATTCTTCCCATGGAGATGGTGCGCCTGCAACGAACGGTTGCTCATGTAGGTTGAAACACAGAGATTCTAGAGTGGTTTTCATTTCTACCTTCATAGTCCTTGGTGTTCGTCCATGTCAGCATATACCGGCCTACTTGAACATGTTTACACTATGTTTCCGAGTATCTCTACTTTTACTTGTAACAATGCGGTTGGTGTCATACGAAATTGATGGTGCGGCAACGGCGCCTGGCGCCTATTTAAAGTTATCATGCCCTGACGCCTAATATCCACCACATTTCTTGATGGATGGTCCTGACCACATACAGTCATGACCCAGCAAGACCTAGATCTGCCTGACCTAAACTGGTCGATATTGCGGGACGCTACCACCTGTCTCACTTGTTATTTTGCGACGGCGCTCAACAATTGGTGTTAGTTTTCGCTTCTTTTTCACTGCTCATCGCTCATCGCTGAAACAAAACCTATGCACTCTTCTCTAGCAATCAGACATCCGTATATCACAGCTATAACTCTGATATACATCTCTGACAATCCTGAACTCCTCCTAACACCATTGCGGATTGCGCGTTATATGTGCTTCCTCCCATTTCGGTTAATCCTTTGGCCGTTCAAGCTCTTGACCAGATTCATCCTGTACATCGTCGGTTTTAGAAGACAGGGTGTAGCAAAAGGTACGTCTGCAATCACAGCTGTAGTAGCTACAGGACTTGTCTCATTGCGGCATCAAAGGTTCATACGCATCCCGAATCCAATCCCGTCGTTATGGTGGCTATGTACCACCGCAATCTACCTTTTCAAAATTCCAGGCGCATGGGGCTACTGATGATTACGAGGACGAAGATGAACCGGAATCAACGTTTGCGACTCCCGTGTCTTTCATGGCGGGTATTGGTGTTTGGTTTGTCTTGGGCAGGGCACGGGGATGGTGGTATTGATGCGATGAGCAGTAGTGTGGATGTTCGATGGTGCGAGTTGAGTCAGTACCAGCGGCCCAACATGGAAAAGGAGCCAAGGTTGCGGAGGAAAAGGTGGACGTAATTACTCGCATGACGGTGAGCTTATGATGGACCGAAGGTATTCATGTCTCGTGTCCTGACTATCATGTTTTTTTTTTCGTGCGATCGGAATTATTTCCTGCACAGATGGAGCGCAGTTGCGAGGTAGGTGGGATGTAGCAGGGAACTGCAAGAGAATCGTCAAGCTTACTGCGAAGGAAACAGGTAGAAAGACTCAGAAATGTACGTCCAAGGGATTGCATCGACCGTGATTACAGCATTCCGTGGTAACTTGGGATACTTCGTGATGCGCTCAAACTACAAGTGTCATGTTGACTTCTTCTACTAGATCTGGTACGTATCTCTCAATCTCAAAATCCGTAAGCTTCAGCTTGCATCATAGGTTGACTCTTCCTTTCTCGCACATTGGTCTATAGATACCCCAATACACCTCTCGTCATGGCGTGAGTTGTGCATTCTGACGCTGGTGACAGTCAAGTTGTGTGTTAATACTCACAACCTAACTCACCAGCGTCTGATGCACACAGCACTATCACATGCCATGCGGACACCCTATTGTGCAGTCCACCGTCTGTCCTGCTAATCCAAGCATGTCTTTTCGTAATCGCCCCTTGGAAGCGTCAAAAGCAGCTCCCTTCGGCTTATGTTTTCAGTCATGTCGTTGACTCCAGACGAACAAGATGCATCGATTCGTTCTCTGTTGTTCAGAGCCCCCGCTACGCGCATTGCTTGCGTTGCAAGGTTTTTAATGTGATTATATCTTGCCTTGTCATGCCGAGGCCAGCTGGGCGAGATTTTGGAACATATTGACTGTAGTGTCACGGTTGACAGAGGCCTCCTGCCAGTATGTTTATCGTCCCAGTCGTTCTCATAAGTGCCTCATTATATGAATATTCTTGATCAATGCTCACACAAATATGTCCAGGTAGCCACGCATAGCCTGACATTTGGCGCTTGCGAGTTGCGATATGCTTCGATGATCCGTTAATACGGAAACATGATTTCAACTGGCTAGCACTACCGATGCAGATGCCTCATATACTATGACGCGGACGCCTTTCATGCATCCTCACCCACGAATGAGACCTCCAAGGCATCAATCGCTGTCTTTGTTCATACTCGTGTATCTTATCTTCTCCTTCGTCATGGATCTGACTTTCTAGCTGTCTAACTTCCAGTTTTTAAAGAGTAAATTATCATTAATATCGACCTTGAACTGCGTGAGTAAATGTTTGGCCTTGACGTATAGAGCAAAGTTCGTGTCTACGTTGGAGGGTGTTAGCACGATATATCAAACAAATCATAATACGGTTGCCAGTGTCATACGAATTTGATGATGCGGCAATGGCGCCTGGCGCTTATTTAAAGTTATCATGCCTAATATAAAACCACTTTTCTTGATGGATGGTCCTGACCGCATACAGCCATGTCCCAGCTGCAGGAGCTAGACCTGCGGCTGCCTGACCCAAACTGGTGGATATTGTGGGACGCTATCGCCTATCTCACTTGTTATTTAGCAACAGAGCTTAACAATTGGTGTTAGTTTTTGCTTCTTCTTCACTGTCCATGGCTCATCACTGAAAAAAAAACTATGCGCTCTTCTCTAGCAATCATACATCCATATTTCGCAACTGGAGCTCTACTATGCATCTCTGGAAATCCTGAACTCCTTCTAACACCATTGCGGATTGCGCGTTATATGTGCTTACTCCCATTTTGGTTAATCCTTTGGCCGTTCAAGCCCTTGACCAGATTCATCCTGTATATGCTCGGTTTTAGAAAACAGGGTGTGGCAAAAGGTACGTCTATAATCACAGCTGTGGTAATTACAGGACTTGTCTCATCGCGCCATCAAGATTCATACGCATCCCGATACCAATCCCGTCATTATGGTGGCTATGTACCACCACAGTCTACGTTTTCAACATTCCAGGCGCGTGGGGCTACTGACGATTACGAGGACGGAGATAAACGAGAATCAACGTTTGCGGTTCCTGTGTCTTTGATGGCGAATGTTGGAACTTTGTTTGTCTTGGGCAGGGCGTGGGGATGGTGGTATTGATGTGGTTGGCAGTAGTGTAGATGTTCGATGGAGGGAGTTGAGTCAGTGCCAGCAACATGGAATACACTTGCGATGCTCTAGATATTCATTAATACAACTTATAAGTGTGAGGTATGTTCGTCTACTCAGTAGAACGATGTGTTCCCGTCAATTCGCTGTCAGCTTGTGCAGCCCCCGTCGTACTGCCTGGTATTGGTCGAAAATGATACTATGATGTTTGTGAGAGACTGATTCGCGGAAGCAGCGCGGAGTCTACCGTGGTCCTTACGAATACCGCGGACTGCCGAATCTAAATCGGTCTGCACCAAATCAATTCTCGTTCGCCTGGCAGCAATATTCAATTTTCCGGCTATGCAACATGCGGCGTCACATAGAGGCTTGACTTTCTTTCCGCGACACGTGCACCACATGAGCGCTGAGCGCTGAGCTGCCGACAGGGTGGGAATGTTGCTTCATTTCGAATGCTCGTGGCCAAGTTTCCGGCTTCCCGACCTTGACTAGACTCGGAGCTGCATTACATATGATACAACATTTATGCATACTTATGGCTGTATGGCATCGACGCATCCAGCAGAATTTCGAAAGGCATGTGTTGTGCAGATGGCTTGTCAAATGATCAACCTATGAGTCTATGACAGATTTAGGATTTCGTGGGAGCTCGATTGATGAACATCCAGCCGGTGAGCGCTTACAGTCATTCGCACATACTACCACGAAACCTTGGTATTGACTTTTTACATCTACAGCTATGATCGACTGGTCGAAATTGTCGAGCAGCATTTTCTCCCAAGGGTCCGACGCTTTTTCAGAGGCTAAACAACGAATGTAGGTCATGCACCCATTGATTCCTAGCCTTTTGCTGATGCCGGTAAACGCGTACCTCAGCAGCCAGGCCATTTCTCAGAACGATCTAGACCCGCAGAACATAGACTGGTCTAAAGTATCGAGCAATGTTGCCTCCCGTGTGTCTGATGCTCTGACAGAGGCCAGACAACTGGCGTATGTTGTTTGCCTCGTAATCATTACGCCCTCACTGACGCAATTTAACACGCAGCAATCAGGCCGCGTCTCAGAGAGATACAGACCTACAGAATGTTGACCAGTCCAAATTGCTGGGCAATATTGTATCCAGTGTGACCGATATTCTGACAGGTGCCAAGCGACTGGTGTATGTGATCCGTTCCTTGATTGTTATGCCCTTGCTGATGCAGCTCGATATGCCCATCTCAGCGATCGGAACGTGTCAGCAAGAGATCTAGGCCTGACAGACATCGACTGGTCTAAAGTATCGGACAACATTCTCTCCCATGCTTCTAGTGCGCTGGCAACAGCAGGACGTCTGGTGTATGTAATTTGCTGCTTCATTATTACGCCTTTGTTAATGGGTTTGATGCACACTTTCTAGTGATCAGGTATTCATACACCACAACTGGCGCTCTGCCATGGCAATTATGTCTCAGCAATACCAGGAGAAACTACATCCCTTTATTGGAGTGATATTCAGTAAGTTAAGACGGGTCTGACATCGCCACAGACGATCTGACGGAGATCTAGACATACCACGCAACTGCTGGGCCAAAATGCGGGGCTGTAATCTCTCTAACGTTTTGTTCGTTTTGACAGAGGTCAATAACTTGTGTAGGTGGCATTCGGCTCTTGATTGCGATGCCATTGGATTGATACATACTTTTCAGCAATCAGGCATCCATACGAATCAGCTGGAGTCTTGCTGGTCATCTCTGTGTTTGGAGATCCTGCGATATTTCTGACATTATTGCAGCTCACGGGAACAACTGCAATGTTCTTGTGTTTTCTCCCGGCACGGTTGATTATCTTGTGTTTGGGCTTTGGGAGTCGAGGAGTAGAAAAAGGTACATAAACACAACGCTTTCTACTTGCTAACCAAACACGCTATAATAGGTTCATTTGCATCTCAATATCAGTCCCGTCATTACGGTGGTAATGTGCCGCGAGGCTCTGGATTCTCGAAACTTCAATCATATGGGTCCACTATGCCAACAGTCACCTCGACGCTTATCTCATTGTTGGCATATACTGGAGCTGTGATTATCTTGGGTCGGGAGTGGAAGATCCAATTAGTGGACTGGTGTCATTTTGTATCGAATGGAAGGTGTTGAAGTGGGATTATCTTGTGGTGGTATGTAGTATGTCACAAACTGAATGGCAGGGTTCCGGTTAGTTTGTGGGGGCTTGGTAGATGCCATAGCGCACGTTGCATGTAACTGATGCATAAGTTACAGAACAAGTGCCAGTGGCGTTTGCACTTGGCTAGGGCTTCGGTATAAGTGTAAATTTGCAAATATTGGAGTCTTCCTGGCATTATTGCAGCTTACGGGAGCAATTGCAGTGTTCCTGTGTGTTCTCCCGGTGCAGCTCGTCATCTGGTGTTTGGGCTTCAGGAGTGAAGGAGTAGCGCAAGGTACACAAATCCCTGGCAGCGGTTTCCACCTCCTAACTGAACACGCCCCAACAGGTTCAATTGCATCCGCATGTCAGTCCAGTCACTACGGTGCTACTGTGCTACGAGGTTCTTCGTTCGCGCACCTCCAATCGGCTGGGGCCACCATGTTGCCAGTTCCATTAACGCTCGTCTCCTTGTTATCGTATGTCGGAGTTGTGATTGTCTTGGGCCGGGAGTGGGGGTGGTGGCTCTAATGAGGCAACTGGGTTGTTGTATCGTGTCAAAAGGAAGCTGAGATTATGCAGGTTTGGGTTTGCGAGTGATCAGGCCAAAGAGCTGATGATAATACGTACATGTGTGACCTTTGTCTAGAGAATGACAACGTGGGTTTGATTTGATGGCAACGTGATCCACAAGCGCTCGAGCTCAGGCCTCAGGCCTCAGCGCTTATTGTTCATCGCTTTATAAACAGATTTGTTCGGCTTACACGCATACAACCATGTCCCAGCAAGATTTAGACCTACCTGACATTGACTGGCCCGAAGTCACGGTGCGGAACACTATTCTCGGCCCTTCAGTTTCTGCTCTGACAAAAGTCAACAACTGGTGTAAGTCATCTGTTTCTTCACGATGTTGGTTATAATGCGATTCCCAGCAATCAGGCATCCATATGTCGCAGTCGGAGCTTTGATGCTCATCTCCGCCAATCCTGATCTCTTATTTACGCCACTACGGCTCGCGGGGAAAACGACACTTTATATCTGTGATCTTCCCCCGGTTCGTTACGGGTTGATCGTCTTGCCCTTCAAGCTTAAGCTCTATTGGAGGATCCTTTTGTACACTTTTATATCATTGCGTTCAGCGAGACAAAAGATTGCGAAAGGTACATCGTACTCATTCATTCGACTACAGGTGTCTCGTACGTGACCCTAAATATGGCAGATTCATTGGCATCCCAGCGCCAGCGCCATCTCTGTGGTGGATACGTACCACGGGACTCTACTTTTGCGAGATCCCAGTCATACGGGGCCGCCTATGACATGGAAGAAGCACTGAGATTGGTTGAAGAATTAGAGAATAGAGATCGACGTGAAACAGGGTCGATACTTGGGGTTGGTGTCTCCTGGCTGTCAGGTATTGGAGCTGTGTTTGTCTTGGGCAGGAGGTGGTGGTGGAATTGATGTAGTTGCTGGACACCGTTGGCAATGTGTATGTTGAGTGGAGGGAGTGGTAGTCAAACATGAAATATAGTGGAGCTCAATGGAGGGAGTTGAATCAGCGGCCAGCGGCCCAACACGGAACTTGAATATACTCATGTGATATTCATTGATACAATTTACAAGCATGAGGCATGTTCGTCTACTCAGTAGAACGACGTGTGGTCCCGTAAATTCGCTGTCAGCTTGTCCAGTCCCGTCGTACTGCCTGGTATTGGTTGAAAATGATACTATGATGTCTGTGACTTGCTGTTAGAGAAGGCTGACTCGCGGAAGCAGCGCGGAGTCTGCTGTGGTCCTTACGAACACCGCGGACTGCTGAATCTAAATTGGTCTGCAACAACTGTTCGCCTGTCAGAGTGAGAGCAAATTGTTCAGCTATGCGACATGCGGCGTCACATGTAGAGGCTTAACTTTCTTTCCGTGACGTGCACCACATAATGATATTCAGCTGCCGACGGGGTGGGAATGTTGCTTCATTTCTGCTCGTGACCAAGTTTCCGGCTTCTCGACCTTAACTCGGAGCTGCATGATAATACAATATTTATGCGTACCTATGGCTGTATGGCATTGACGCATCCAGCAGAATTTCGAAAGGCATGTGTTGTGTAGATGGCTTGTCAAATGATTAACTTGTGACAGATTTGGGATTTCATGGGAGCTCGATTGATGGACGTCCCAGCCGGTGAGCGCTTACAGTCATTCGCACATACTATCACGAAACCTTTGGTATTGATTTTTTTATTTACATCTACAGCTATGTTCGACTGGTCGAAATTGTGGGACAACATTCTCTCTTGTGCTTTTAGTGTGCTGGCAACAGCAGGACGACTGGTGTATGTAATTTGCTGCTTCATTATTACGCCTTTGTTGATGGGCTTGATGCATACTTTCTAGCATTCAGGTCTTAAGGTTCATATACCACAACTGGTGCTCTGCTATGACAATTATATTTCAGCAATTCCAGGAGAAACTACGCGCCTTTGTTGGAGTAATCTTCAGTAAATAGACAGGTCTACTAATATCGCCACAAACGATCTAACGGAGATCTAGACATATCACGCACCTACTGGGCCAAAATGTGTTGCAGTATTCTCTCCGGTGTTTTGTTCGTTTTAATAGCAGTCAACAACTGGTGTAGGTGTCATCCAGCTCTTGATCACGATATATGATTAGTACTGACACATACTTCACAGCGATCGTACATCCATACATTGCAGCCGGAGTCTTGATATTGCTCGCTGCAGTCACAAATATTGGAGCCTTCCTGACATTATTGCAGCTAATGGGAAAATTTGCAGTGATCCTGTGTCTCCTCCCGGTGCAATTGATCATCCGGTATTTGGGTTTCGGGCCTCGAGGAGTAGTGAAAGGTACACAAATCAGCGGTTTCCACTCCCTAACTGAACACGCCACAACAGGTTCATTGGCATCCGCATATCAGTCCAGTCACTACGGTGGTACTGTGCCACGAGGCTCTTTGTTCGCGCGCCTGCAATCAACTGGGGCTACCATGTTGCCAGTTCCATTGACGCTCGTTTCCTTGTTATCGTATACTGGAGCTGTGATTATCTTGGGCCGGGAGTGGGGGTGGTGGTTTCAATGAGGTGACTGGTTATTGTATCGCATCGAAAAGAACCTGATATTATGCAGTTGGGTGAGGGATTGGGTTTGCGAGTGATTAGGCGGAAGAGTCGATGATACTATGTACATATGTATGACCTTTGTCTAGAGAATATTGCGGCTGACGGGAGCATCTACAATGTTTTTGTGTTTTCTCCCGGTGCGATCGATTATCTGGTGTTTTGGCTTCAGGAGTCGAGGAGTAAAAAAAGATACACTGCAAACAAAGCGCTTTCTACTTGCCAACCAAACACGCTGTCACAGATTCAGTTGCATCGATATCCCAATATCAGTCCAGTGATGGCGGTGGTAATGTGCTGCGAGGCTCTGGATTCGCGAAACTCGCGTCCACCACGCCAACAGTCACCTCGATGCTTATCTCATTATTGGCGTATACTGGAGCTGTGATTATCTTGGGCCGGGAGTGGTGCATTCAATTAGGGGACTGGTGTCATTTTGTATCGAATGGAAGGTGATGAACTTGTGGAGGTATGTATATCACCATGGTCAAAATATGTAAATGGCAGAGTTCCGGGTTGGTTTGTGGGGGCTTGGGATGCTATTATATGGTGCAGGTTACATGCCACTGACGCAGAAGAAGTGTCGGTGGCGTTTGCACTTGGCGAGGATCTCGGTATAAGTGTAAATTTGTGACCGGGCAACTTATAAGAGACCGTGACACGCGGAGGCAGCGCGGAGTACCTTGCGGTTCTTGCGTGGGTGGTCTGCCGACTCGGAATTGATTCGCACGTCAGCTTAGAACGCTCGAGGCACACAGCAAGTTTAGGGTGCAGGCAGATCCGGGCCAGACAGATCGGCGGCTTGTGTCAAATGACCGAGGTTTCGTGAGAGTTTAATTGGTTGGTTCACCGGTTATAACTTACGGTCGTTTGTCCATACTGTCACGAAACCTGTGGTATTGCTCTTCATGCCTCCAATTATCATGATGTCCGACTGGTCGAAATTGCCAGACATTTTTTTCCCCAAGGTGTCTCTGACAGAGGTCAAACAACAGGCGTATGATATTCACCTCTTGGTTATTACGCTGACACTGACGCTGTTCGATGCACAGCAATCAGGTCGTGTCCCAGAAAGACGTTGACTTGAAAAACGTTGACTGGTCCAAAATATGGGCCGATATTCTTAATGCTCTGGGACAGGCTGGACGTCTGTTGTATGACATTCACTGCTTTATTTTCACGTCTTTGTTGATAGGAGCGCTTGATGCATACTTTCTAGGGTCAATTTGTGGAACACTATCCTTTCCAGTGTTTTGCTCACTTTGATAGAAGTCAACGACTGGTGTAGGTGTCGTCCAGCTCTTGATCACGATATATGATATGGCACTGACACATACTTCACAGCAATCGTGCATCCATACGTTGCAGCCGGAGTCTTGATATTGCTCTCTGCAGTCACAAATATCGGAGTCTTCCTGGCATTATTGCAGCTGACGGGAACAATTGCAGTGTTCCTGTGTCTCCTCCCGGTGCAGCTCGTCATCTGGTGTTTGGGCTTCAGGAGTGAAGGAGTAGCGCAAGGTACACAAATCCCTGGCAGCGGTTTTCACTTCCTAACTGAACACGCTAACAACAGGTTCATTTGCATCTGCATATCAGTCCAGTCACTACGGTGGTACTGTGCCGCGAGGCTCTTCGTTCGCGCACCTCCAATCAACTGGGGCCACCATGTTGCCAGTTCCATTGACGCTCGTCTCCTTGTTATCGTATGTTGGAGTTGCGATTGTCTTGGGCCGGGAGTGGGGGTGGTGGCTCTAATGAGGCAACTGGTTATTCCATCGTGTCGAAAGGCAGGGAACCTAAGATTATGCAGTTGGGTTTGGGTTTGGGAGTGATCAGGCCGAAGAGCCGATGATACTACGTACATATGTGTGACCTTTGTCTAGAGAATGTCAACGTGGGTTTAATTTCATGGAAACACGATGCACCAGCGTTTGGCGTTTACTTTATAAACAGATTTATCCAGTTAGCAGGCTGCTTACACGCATACAGCCATGTCCCAGCAAGATTTAGACCTACCCGACATTGAATGGCCTGAACTATGGAACACTATGCACGCCTCTTCACTTTATGCTCTAACAAAAGTCAATACTAGCTGGTGTAGGTTCTTTGTTTCTTCTTCACGATATCATTGATAACGCAATCTCCAGCAACCAGGCATCCATATGTCGCAGCTGGAGCTTTGATATTGATATCTGCCAATCCTGAACTCTTACTTACGCCACTACGGCTCGCGGGGAGGTTTACCTTGTATATTTTCGGTTTCAGGAGACAAGGGGTAGCGAAAGGTACATCGTACTCATTCAACTACAGGTGTCCCATAACCTTGAACACAAATGTGACAGATTCATTGGCATCCCGGTACCAGTCCCATTTCTATGGTGGCTACGTACCACGGGACTCTACCTTTGCGAGATCCCAGTCGTACGGGGCCGCTGACTATCACGATAATGACATGGAAGAAGCACTGAGATTAGCGAGCGTTGAAGAATATGAGAATGGAGATCAACCTGAAACAGGATCGATACTTGAGGTTGGTATCTCCTGGCTGTCAGGTATTGGAGCTGTCTTTGTCTTGGGCAGGAGGTGGGGGTGGTGGAATTGATGTGGTTGCTGGACATCCGTGTATGTTGAGTGGAGGGAGTGGTAGTCAAACATGAAATATCGTGGGGCTATGATATTGACGAAATCCTAAGTGACATGTTCATGTACATCTAGATAGATCTACTTGATTAGTAAAATCGTGGTCAAACGTACGCTTGTTCCTCGAGTAGGATTGCATGATATTCAATATTCAATTGCAATAGCACGACGCGACGTAGTTGTTTAGCTTAGCTAATTCAAATACGCGTCGCGGTGTCTGAATCGGTCGCGCTCTTTACGGGCCTGTCGAATGTCTTCCCGTCGTCGACCTCCGTTTGCAGCAAATTCAGATGACTTTGTGAAAACGACAAGTTTGGCTCTAGCATCGTGGGAGTTCAACAATTGATGGTGGGTGTCCATGATCATGTGCATGAGCGCTTGGTCGCTCTTCTTCACGCCTACTAGTCACCAGCCTGGTTCAACCAACCATGCCCAAGGAAGATACAAAACTGCCCGACTGGTCGAAATTGTCGGCTAGTGTTCTTTCCAGTGCTTCCCATGCTCTGGCAGAGGTCAAACAAATGAGGTCATTGGCCCCATGAGTATGCACTAGCATGGCCTTTGCTGATGGTAGCTTAACATGTTACAGCAATCAGGCCGTGTCCCCACCCGATGTAAACCTGCCTGACTGGTCGAAAGTGTCAGGCGCTGTTCTATCCCGTGCGTCTGATGCTCTGGCGGAGGTCAAACAACTAAGGTTCTTCGCCCCTTGACTATGCATGCATTTTGTTAACGCGGTTTACACTCTTTTCAGCAATCAGGCCATATCTAAGAAAGATGATATAAACCTGCCGAACATAGACTGGTCGAAAGTATCGGGTGATATCATCTCTCATGGGTCCGACGCGCTGACAGGGGCTAAACAATTGGTGTATGTTATTCACTTCATGGTTATTCTGCCTTGACTGATGGCCTGATGCACACTTTCTAGTAATCAGGTTTCCGCGTATGGCCACTGGAGCTCTGATATGCCAGTGCTTCAGCAATACCAGGAGAAGGCGTGGCAGCTCATAGGGATGATATCTAGTACGTCAATAGGAATCTGATTTCTTCGCGGACGATCTAACAGAGGCCTAGACCCGTTTGGCGTCCACTGGATCAAAGCGTGGGGGACTATTCTCACTGGCACCTCCAAATTGCGGGACAACATTTTCTCGGGCGTTTCCAAATTGTGGGGTGTCATTCCCTCGGACCCTTTCAGATTGTGGAGGTTCATCCTTTCTAAATTATGGGGCACTGCTAGAACCCCCTTGAGCACTTCCGATTCCAATTCCAATTCGTTCACTGCCCTCTCCTGTGTTTCGCATGCTCTGACAGGAGTCAACGCCTGGTGTAGGTCATTTTCCCTCCTGTTGATGATATTTTCTGAACGACTTAAACATTTTCAGCGATTAGGCATCCATATTTCGCAGCTGCAGTTTTGCTATCTATCTCTGGGGACCCTGATATCCTTCTTGGGCCATTGCAGCTGACGGGAAAACCTGCACCGTACACTCGGACCTCGACTGTTCCCAATTACTGCGAAAATGCGATCACGAATAAATACGAGAATGTGGATGCACGCAAAAGTGAATCGACGGTCGTGCTTAGTGTCTCTTGGTTGACGGGTCTTGGAGCTGTGTTTGTTTTGGGTAGGACATGGGGGTGGTGGGATTGATATGTTGGTGCCGTGTATTAGTGTGATCCGCCGAGATGTTCTGTAGGTGCACCGATATTCGAAGCCTGTACTGACAATATCTCAACGAATGAGTTCCTTACTAGTTCCAGCGATTCCAACCCCTAACAATCGTAAAATCCATCCAGTGACCATATCACATGGTATCAAGCACGCTGCTGGGGGCAGAAACCCTTTGAACCAACTGCATATCTTGTGAAAGTGAAATTCTCCAAGCAACTATTATATCGTGCACGACTGAACTTTCTTTCGAATGGTCTCACTCACCATCCAGCACGCTTGAGAGTCCTGCATTATGGCCTATCATCTGGATCAGCACCCTTTCTTCCAAGCTGATGTTCGAAAACTACGGTGGTTAAGAGATAGGACCTGTGGCCCTCGACACTGGCACTTCCTGCTTTCGCCCAGTCGGCATCAGGAAAATGACGAAGTGCTTATGCTACTTGATAAATAGCAAAAGATTTGTGAAATAATAGCCGTACGTATTGTTGCTTGATTGTCATTATCCAGCTTAAGTTTTTCTATACCACAAGCTGACCGTAGGCTAGCCCGAGGTTTATCAGCGTCGGAATGAAGACGGGTCAACTGTTGTTTGTCCTTATTGAATTCTGAGGCCATTACATAATCTGTAAGTATACGCATTGTGCAAACAAGCTCGATTTGGTTGCAATTACCTTGCTTCATTCAAGAGTCCGTATCCTATGGTACGCTGCCACTCTGAGAACTTGAGGCAACATTAACGGTCGTAATGTCAGACAGTTTGCACCTACTATCTACGTGGTACGTGCAAGTACGGCGATAGATGTCGCAACGAGCATCCAGCGGATAGAGCACA